TCCCCTCCTTTAAATTAATTTTATAGCATCATTGTGAGAATTGAATGATATAACATTAATAAGTGATCAAAAAGAGCCTGGCACATAATAAGTACTATATTTTAGTGTTTTAATCTATTTTTGACTATATTTTGCATCTATTACTATCTTAGCACTAGCTCATTGTACAATGATTGTTTTTTAATGTGTTGTTCTGGGCCATGATCAAAAAGAGCCTGGCACATAATAAGTACTATATTTTAGTGTTTTAATCTATTTTTGACTATATTTTGCATGTATTACTATCTTAGCACTAGCTCATTGTACAATGATTGTTTTTTAATGTGTTGTTCTGGGCCAGGAAGTTTTATTCATCTTTATGTTTCTAAGAGCAAGTATAGTATCTAACACTCAGTAGGAGTGTAAGCTATATTCGCTGAATGATGTACTGTGTTCCTTCTCTAATGAAGAAAAAACTGAGGAAAAAAACTTAATTCCATGCAATTAAGTCTGCTTAAATTATTTCTCTTTTAATAATTTCTAATTTTATTGGGTTATGGTCTGAAATTGTAATACATAAAATTAAGAATTTTATTTAACAAAATTATACTTGTACATAATTTAAAACTGAGCTAATTCTACAAGATTAAACTAGAAACAAACAGTGATTCCTTGACCATTCACCCCATCTCATTCTCGTTCCCCATAGCCAAGCTCTTTCAGCGATTTCAGCTATGTATTTTCTTATTTCTATATAATATGTTTATTATTTAGAAATGTTCTTATTGCTCTTTCAGAATCCTTAAAGTTTATTTACTACCTATTTAGTTCTTACTAAAGAAGATGAGGATTTAGTGCCTATACTCCTACATCAGGACATCAGTAGTACTGCATAACACTACTCAAAACTTAGTGACCCAAGCAGCAATGATATATTGCTTATGCAACCATGGGTCAGCTGTGTGATTCTGCAGCTGTGTGATTCTGGGCAGGGTTACACTGATCTCTACTGGCCTTCTCACTTGTCTATCTAATCAGCTGTGGGTTAGGTAGGAGACTTTACTAATCTTGGCTGGGCTCTTTCACATTCTGAGGGACTTAACTGGAACAACCAAGCTGCTCTACATGGTCTCTTTATCCTCCAGCAGGTAATCCACACCTGTTCACATGTTGCTGGTAGCGATCCCTAAAGAGAGCAGAATTATGCCGGGAGTCTTGAGGCCTAGGCTCAGAAGTGTCGTGTTACTTCTACCACATTCTAATAGCTAAAACAAGTTACCAGGCCAGTCCAGATTCAGGGAGCAGGGAAGTAGTCTCCATCTCCTGATTAGAGGAGCTGCAAAGACACATCACAGAGTGAGGACACAGGAAGAAGAAAAATTATAGCCCTGTTTGGGAGGAAACTACTACCCTTCTCCCGCCTGCAACACACACAAATATCCCTTCACCTCTTCTCTCAATTAGATATGCCCTAATTTTTAGTGAGATCATATTCATAACATTATTATGTCTATGGAAGTATATTCACAGGTGAGCCAAGTAGTATACTATAAGTATAATTTCTCTCTCATACAATATTTTGTTTTCCCTGGAGTTAATAATTGGCTCTTTTATGTGTATTTGGCTAGTTTTTTATGTATTAAACTCTCCACCGGAAGTATGACACTTTTTTTATTATATTCAAACCATTAGGTAATTCATCAAATCATCTTTGCCTAGAAGACATCACTAAAGAATCCCTCTATCCTCTTGCTCCAATCTGGACAGTCTGTTTTCTAGATATGCTACCTGGCAGTCAGTCAGTACGGGGTCACCTCCACCAGCTTTCTGGGGACCTCCTACCTCTCTCTCCAATGTCACTATATTGCCTCCTGAATCCTGGGTCTTCCGCTTTCTTGATTTACTAGCTCACATTGGTGGAGTAAAGTGCTCTTAGAAAAAAAATCCTTTCATTACTAAATTAAATTACAACACTTCCAATATTAAAATTTCACATTTGGTTGAGAGTTTAGTTAGGTATAGAATGTTATCTTGGAAATAAATTTCTCTTAGAATTTTGAAATTATATCTCTATTGTCTCTTGGCCGACTGTGTCTTAAAGTATCTATGGTGAAGGATCAGCTTTCAAAAAATTTCTAATCTGTTGAGAATCAATATCTTGTTAAATACAATAAACATGTGACAGCAATGTCAAATTGGTTATAAAAATTCATAAATGCTTAGTCTCACTTTTTGTTCTTATCAGGAACTAATAACACATTTTGCACATTTATTTTATCTGGGTCATTTAAAACGCTACACAAAATTACATATTTATAACTTCCAATTCTCACAGTATTTTTAATTTTTTGTTTAATACTTTCCATTATTATCTTTGACTGCTGTTATTCTGAATCTTTAATTATTCTTAATTTTCAGAACCTGTCCCCTCTTTTTTCTAAATTGGCTTAGTCTTCATTTATTCTTGTGATTTTTGCAAATGATACATTAAATTGAAAATCTGTTTCTGATCTAGCCCCTCAAATTATAATAGAAACAAATATATTGTTTAATGTGCACTTTTCAATTTTTTTTACAGATATTATTTAGGTGAGGACACAGTGGCTCAGAGAGATTCATTTGCACACATACTGGTGTTTCTGTACCCTTTCTGTTATTTTGGCCTCTAAACATTATATTTTGCCCAAAGTACTCTTGACTAGATATTTAACTTTCTATTACTTTACACAGATTCCCCATTAAGCATTTATCTTCTTCTCCATTTACCATGCTAAAGTGTGAAAGAATAAATCTGAAGTCATTCTTAGCCCCACATTTCAAAATTTGTCTCTTTTCCGTAGCAGTTGAAAAGATCTGTCCTTTTACGTTTGAGAAGAAATCTAAGCATCTTTCTTTTAGGTTGGTCCCTTAATGAGAATGGAGGGACAACTGACATTTATAGAGAATCTACATTGTGCTAGGTTATTTTGCTTGTATTATTTTCATATTCATGCAGAGGTCATTCTTTTCTCCCCCACACCCACCCTCTCTTCCCCCACAAAACAAAAAGAAAACCCGTTCCATTACTCTTTAACAATGCTATGTTTCTGGCCTTTTCTGTTTCCTGTGGCACCCTAGTGTTTCCGCAGATAAACTCTTCTTTATCTGTTTCTAGCCCATCCATTTTCTTCTGCATTATTGTATTTAAGTGTAAATTGTCTTCTGGATGCATCTCGGTTACTGAGGATTCTTTTTATTGCCCATCAGCTCTGCTCTTTACCTATTCAATATTAATTTTTTTTTCACATTGTAGCATATTTCCCTTTTGCAGTAATTATTTCCTTTTGCCTTTTAAAAGGAAACTGGCATATGTTTATTTGAATAACAATAGCTAATAATTAAT